TAAGGCATGAAAAAAACGCACTCCTTAAAGCAGGTTGATTCCAGCTAGATGCTGCTGCCTTTATACGAAAATCAATAGCGAACTCAGCCACAGACTTATTTCCTTGTTTAAGGTTCCACAAGTCACATGAGTTTGCCGTCTTGTCAGGATCATAACAAAATATCTGCTTAAACTCCTTCAGAAACTCATCAAATGTACATCCAAAATTAGCCAGATTAGGGAACTTTGCTTCAGCCCAATCCAATGCTTTACCAGACAGATGGGTTAGTACAAACGCTATTTTGGCACCGTCGTGGGAAAAACTCGAAGGGGAATGATTAAAGGCTAGAGAACACTGCATCAGAAAGCCTCTGCATCAAACCTTTAAAGCGGCGGAGGGTGAAACTCGGCAAACATGGACCGGCTAGATGGTTCAGGAGCTGGAGCTGGCGCAGACTCGGAAGGCTGTTGGATAGAAGTTTGTAAAAAGTTAGCAGTTTTTTCTAACTTCTGGTTGGTTTCCTCGTGAGTAGCATGGAGTTTGCGTAAAACAGATTCATGGGTTTGTAACGTTGCTTGTTGTTCGGACAGGGTTTTCCTGATAGTGTCTGCGGGGCTAATTGGTTGGCCAGATTGTTCTGTCTTGTCGGGTGTAATTTGATTAACCCACATGCAAGAACACAGACAGGAGAACAAATAAAGTTTAACAGGTTTATTATGAGCAGGAGGGAAACTGGTTTGAGCGGCGGGCAGCAGCACCAACAGTACACTAAGAAAAAAACACAGGGGAGATGATGAGTTTGAGGTTGTAGGAAATTAGCGTTGTGATCAGAGAGGAAGGAGGAACTTACAGGCGTGTGAAACCTTTGGAGGAAGTCAGAGGTTCTGGGTTTCCGTTTCTTTGGTTACGGAGGAGTATGCCAGGAAACGTCGAGTCCTTGACGGAAGCTAGGAGCAGCGGCTTGATCTGAGCTGGTGTTGGGGAATGGACAGGTCGCCCAGGGCTTGGAGAACAACTGTGCGGACGGTTTGCCAATTTGAGTGAGGATTGGAGAAGGATTGAACTGTAAAGTTGCAGTGGAGACTCGGGCATCTGGCGGGTGACCTCCGCCAGTATCACAAGGGGGGAACTGGGAGCGGAGGTCCAGATCCGGATGCTCGGGTAAGTCCTAAGAAAACAGAGATCAGAGAGTCTGATTACTCGGGGATCAAAGCAAGGATGACACAGCAATCAACAAGAGCACGGGGCCAAGAGAGTACCATCACTAGTCAACAATCTGGCATCAAAGAGTTGGTAAACCGCTTCTCTTAAGCCGCAGGTAAGGACGTAATTGCTGACCAGTGTGTGGATGACGTCAAAGGTCCGTCCCCTGTGCAGCCGCCTCCAGGACTCCATCTAGTGGAGAAAAACCCAGAACCTAACAATTCCTCCAGCACCATGTCTTTCAACTTAATTTTCTTTTATGACCACTCTGCTCTCCAATACTTGCTGTTTTTATTTATTTATTTATTTATTGCTCTTGCATTTAGCTCTTCTTACTTGGAATCTTTAAAGGCCCTATGTGTTGGCTGCTTGTGTGTACTATTAAACTCAGAATTGAAACATTGACCTTGACAAGCTGCCACCAGGCATGATATTTTTGTCTTCTGGTATTTCAAAGATGTTCACACCAACAGAGAAGGTAATTTCTTTTCCTCCTCTGCCTGTGTCTTATCCACATATGTATGATGCATTTCCAGGTACATAGAGCCATTTCATAGCACAATCAAGTAACTATGTTACCTTCAATTGTTCTAAAAAATACAGTATATATCAAAAACAATTTACAAGAAATTTGAGTTTGTATCATAGCTGTATTTGAAGCCTTGAAATTGACTTATGTCTTTTTAACAACCAACCTACCCTTTCCAACATTCTCCCTTCTGCATGTATCATAACAATGCTTCTTCATGCCTTCCATTGATGCCGTTTACAACAGTTCTGAGGAGTGTTGCAGTGTGTATGATTAACTCAACTTCCACCAGATGTTTGGTTGTTTCTGCTGCTAGTTAGAGGAGCTGTGTGGAGTTAGCACAGGACAAGGGTAACCTGTGGAAGGAAGGCTTAAATGGAGACTGAAGCTCCAAGGTGGAGTTTTGAGTAAAAAGGAGGCACATCGGCAATGGGAGAATCAAGGATTTCTCAAACATGCATGAAAGAATCAAAGCAACACTCCAAATATGTGGTTGATGAGGAAATAACATAACATGATATAAACTTCAAAAAACTTGAATTTGCGTAACAAAGCCATCAATGGACATAATCAGCAGGTTGTACAAAATTGAGGGAAGCATTAAACAAATTTATTATTATTTTTAAATGTTTATTTGCATGCCATCTTTTGCTTTCTGCTACAATGTAACACGTTTTCTACACTTATGTGTGTTTTCCAGGTGATAGTCTGATACTGCAGAACCACTGTTCAACCACTGTGGACAGCAATACGACTTCTTCCCCTCCGGATCACGTTGGCATTTTTTTTTTTAAGTTAACTCAACTTCTGTTAAGTAATTGTTGCTCAGAACTGAATTTGGGAAATTAAGCCAACATTGGTTACTGCTACTTTTCTGATGGTAGCAAGCATCATTGTTACTGTCAGTGAGGGGTCTGCAGCAGGCTCAAAATGTCAGTATGCCTATTACTCAGGACAACGCCCTCAGCATTCTCCTGCTGCTGGAGGACTGGCACAGGGCTCAGATGGTGAGATCTAACAACACTAACATAAAAGAAGACAGTTTGGAATATAAGGTACTTCACTACTCTCACCCACTATTTTCACTTTTTACTGCAAATCTCCACTCATCTTTGCTTTCAACTAATAAACATTTTAAATACTCACCTTTGCTTTAAAATTTAAGCATTACACTAATTTCACCTGATTCTTTACATTTCAGAACTGCAGATTTCACATTGTGGCGACAATCATGTGAAAAACTTTGAATGCTTTTGTATTTTCTTAATAGGATTTTCTATCAGATTTGTTTGTAAATCTTCATCTGTCCATACTGATATTCACAATATTCAGGAATTGTAACACTTATGTTTCTGGTTATAACCTGGATAAAACCAGATTCTAATAATAAACCCTTTAGGAGTTGAGAGTAAATATAAAAAAATATTTAAATATTCTTTATTTCATGGTGTTCAAATTTTTTCTACCAGTATCCATTCAGTTTTATTGGGATACTAAAAAATGTTTCATTTGTAAAGCAAGGAGTAGTATTATGTAAGCAGTGGCTTTAAGGCATAAAAGTCTCTTTATTTTCATCTTTCATTTTATTTTTTATGTTCAGTCCAAATACATGACCAAATTTATAGCTTCATAAGACTCTGAACTCAAAGAATAAATAGATGTACTAAGACCACACAACTTAATGAATAATCTATTTCATTTAATCTTGTCTAAACTCATCTGCCTGCATGTTTTACTTCTAATCCTGAAATACAAGTTCACCAAAAAAACTTTAATTGACTACCAGTTGTTACTTTTACATAAACATCATTTAGAGTGTAATAAAGAATGGGAAGCCACATAGAAGAATCTTTCTGAGATCTGTCATCAAATGGGAGAAAAAGCAATGTTGAGTCTGAAAAAAGGTTGTGAAGATAGAGACATTTGTATTCTGATACCAATACTATGAGTCCTCTACCATTTTCATATCAAGGCAAAACATTTTTGAAGGCACTAGTTCTAGTTAATAGCAAAATGTGATTAAATAAAATATTATGTATTTAAACTTTATTTTATTGAAACAAAACCAATGTTTAGGGGTCAGTAATAGACAGGAGAACTCTTAGTGTAAGTGTCTACCTGTGCCCACTTGTCCTGGCCAGGCCTCATGTTTGTGGTTGGTGCTAGCAGTCACTGGCAGGAGGCAGAGTAGTCCATCACAAGACGACTCTGAGACACACAAGCCACAACCAAGCATGTATGCACTCCTTTAAACTGCAATTTATGTTGAAGCAAAGATAGTCACTAACATGAATATCTTTGGTCTGTGAGAATAATGTTCAAAGAAAAAACTTGCACAAGCATGGGGAGAACATGCAAACACCTTACTGAAAGAATTTCACATATTCATATGTTATGAATAAATTACTCAACATTCCTAAGGCTGTTGTAAACAAATATTTTAGTAATCGAGCATTTTAATGATTATTCTTACAATTAAATGAGTAATCAGGTAAAAAAAAATGACTAAAATGAAATATTGGTAAATCTAACATAAGAGCAGTGTTACTGTCAGATATCAACATCAGTCCAAGCATCCCTAACATCCCTTCTGTAGTTTAGAAAATAAACCTGTAACAATAATAGCTCACTTTACAAGTTAACCTGAAGAAAAGTTATGAAAGAATCTGAAATTATATTCAATTTAATAATAAAGAGGCAGGCTCACAAATACAATGATAAAAATGTCTATGTTCCAGCTTTTAGTTTATGTGTTCATCTTCAGTCAATTTAATAGATGAACTTTCACCTTTCCCAGCCATTCATAGCTCTTGTGTCAATGTTAGCGACGGGATTTGACACCTTTGTTCGTCACACACAGGAGCACAACTACCAGCTCTGTATTATGGGGTTCCATTTGTGTCAAAAATAAGTAGAAGTCATATGTGTAGATCAGAGGTCGCGCTAGACTTTTTTGTTCTCCGTCATTTTGACCGACAGGATTAAAAGAATTGGTCATGTACTATTTTTAAATCATAATCACATTAACATCAGCTATTTAGCCGCATTTTTATGCAGTTCAGTTAATATTCATCCAGTTGAACCGTGAAACCAGATCCCATTATACATAATGCAGATAAATGCATCTAACTTTTTCTCCATAGTGACAAAAACTAATCACTACAGCCCCGATAACTTATAATAAATTAAATTAAATCTCCACTTAAATTACCAGCACTTCACTTGCTGGGGTCTGAACTCACATCTTCACAAATTCCTCCTGGTTCGCATCTGCAGATAAATCTGCACTAGTTCATCGGGCAGTTGGATATGCCTAAAGCAAACCGATCCATTTAACTTTTTTTTTTACCCTGCGCAGTCTGGGTGTGTACTTTTACGAGGATGTTTCTTTCTTTTTCTTTTTTTTTTTTTTTTTTTTTTTT